TTTTTTTCTACTCTTGGCTCTCATTGATGTCAGTGGCAGCCAATATCCCTAATATGGCCAACTTAAAATCATAGCCCAGTCAAATACTGTATATAAAACTTAGATTATTCCTATGGTGATTTTTCTTAACTACAGGTTTCCATTCCAGCTCGACACCACAGCCGCCCGTTCGGCTACAAAGTGCAGAGTACATAAATGAAGCTGGCTGCTCTTACCTTTGTTTACGGTGAAGCGTTTTGGATTGTGACACGCAGATGAAAACCGTTGCACATGTCTTGCTAGTGTGTCACATATAAAATTTAAAGCCTTTGCTACTACAGACACTTAAAATTTGAACAAAAGGCTCTTGTGTTTCAGGTGCACTTTGTGGAAACGGCGGCCACTAAAGTTCCTGCTGTGTGGCTCTAAAAGCTGATCTGTGTGCTGTATTGGGGGGGGGGGGGGTGGTTAGGTCCTAGACAGTTTAAGAGGTAATGAAACACTTGACTAGAACACATCTATCTTTCCCACACGGCCCTTTTGAGAACTTCCTTCTGGAAACCAGGAAGTCAAGGTGCTTCAGCATTGTGGGATTATAACAGCCGTGTCATTAAAACCAGGAGATCTTAAAGTGGTAGCGAGACATAGAAGCCAAGGAAGAACGAATGAGATAAAAGTATGAAATGAAATATGGGCATAACTTATAGCATAAGGTAATACTTCTAGACTCATATCTTTGAGAGCTATAAATTTTCAAGACTAAGTTAGAACATGCAAGCCCAGGTATATACAGTATAATTCAGTGTGTGATGGCCTTTTGGGTATGGAGATAAGTTATGCCCTGTTTACAAATGTGTTTTCCATCAAATATATATCCTCACTTGCTCTGGAAGCTGAAACAAAAAAGAAAAAGAAAAAAAAGAGTCTGTTTCTCCAAATTCCCATACATCAAAAACTAACGCTTCACTTCCAATTTGTTTCCACCAGTGCTTACAGATGGCAAATGTTTTGTCAACAGCAGCATGCAGGCTGAAATAGCACGGCCTCGAAGAAGTGCACGCAGAGAAAGTGTAGCTCAAAACAAAGCTTATGGCGAGGAATGTCAACAGTGAACCTTTCAAAGCAGGGAATAATTACTTCATGTTGACTGTAATTGGTTTGTCTTTAATCTGCCCTCTCTGTCTGTCGCTCCCATTTTTACAGTTACCAATTAAACACGGTTGTTGCTTTTGTTAGCGTTCTTACTATAAATTCTACAAATGGAAAAACCTTGTCATTTGTTCTTCCAACTCCTCTGCCTGTTTTGCTCATGATAATTAGTACCATAGGGATCTTTTTTTAACCACAGTGAAGAAGAAAAAAGTCTGAGCTTACTGATGAAACTTATTTGACCTTTTGGCAAAAGCTGCTTTTATTTTGGGGCTGAGGAAGCACTAACAACGACGAGTTACTGTGCCAACTTTCAGTATTTTATTTGGCACTTTTTAAGACAGAATAGAACGTTTTTTGTCAGAATGGCACAAAGGCACATATTAGGGTGGACCTAAACCACCATCTGATTTATTAGCATTTTGGACTTTACTATAAATGTGGTCTTCATGAAACCCATGCTTCTCAAAGTGTGGTAACATAACATACTGCAGCCTGTGAGTGCCACAAAGGAGGGATAAGCAATTACAGAAGAGGAAGAAGACAAATCTACTTTCAGCTGCTCCCTTATTCACAAGTGATAGCTCCACCTGTTGTATTTGGCAGATTTTTGTGTCAAATTAAAGACGCACAGCCCCAAAGGGCTTTGTGTCTTTTCCTGACATCGAATCAGGGAACCTTTGCTTCCTAAGTAACAGTTTTTTATTACAGTCAATGCCATATGTCAAGCGCAGGCCTACAATAGTTGCAGTTACAAGTAAAACCCACCAGCTTCTAACCAGACAACACTAACTAATCTAAACGGTAAATGGACTCGTTCTTATGTAGCACTTTTCTACTCTGCTTGAGTACTCAAGTGCCTTAGACAACAAGCCTTATTCATCCATTCACAAGCATGTTTTCCTACACCTATGTGCTTTCTATCTAACACTCACGCTCCAATAAACACATCAGGAGCAACTTGGGGTTCAGCATCTTGCCCGAGGACACTTTGACGGCAAGGGATCAAACCACCAGCCTTCTGATTAGTAGACGACCCACGCTACCTCCTGAGCCACATCACTTTTGACAACTACATCTCTAATCAATGCATTCTCACTAACAACTAGTCACATACTGATGCTTGGTTGGGAACTTCTTGTCATATATTAGTGATATGTATCATGTTAACTCTGTGATAGGTTTTGAAAAAAATGATATGGTTTAAAATACATTCTTTCGCATGTTAACCACGAGTTACAAGTCAAACTTCTCCAACCTGCAACAAGTCTGCTGCAGAGAAAGAACATTTGACAACATTTGACACCTTTTTGGTTTGAGAAACTACATTCTTAACTAAAGAAACATACACTATGAAACCTTTGCTCTGATTTTCATTTCATTAACAAAAGATTTATGATTTCAAGAGCTGCTTTCGAAAGATAATAAATGAGCATGAAAGAAGCACGACCGAGCCTAATGAGGCCTTCATTGCCCTTTTGGCTCTCTTGTGTTTGCAGCTGATTGTAAGATTTACAGGAAGACCAGATGGCACGAGCACCTCTGAAACAGTGACCTCACACCCTTTCCTCTGATGGGGTGATAAGGGCATACAAGCTTTCCCCTGGGTCCAAAAAAAGAAAAAGAAAAAAATCGCAGGTCTCCAAGGAGTTAAGCCCAGGTCTGGAAGCCCTCCGAGCCAGGTGTGAGGGGCCGTGAAAGGGGCCAGACCCCAACCAGGCAGACACAGAAACCACTCACATCACTGAGGGAGCACTAACCCGCCACAGACACCTCCAGGGGTTTAAGAAGATGGAAAGAGAAAAAAAAAAAACCGAAGAAAAAGAGCAAAGTGAGATGGTGTAGATTGCTAAGAATGCTGCAGGAACAAGCATTTACAATGAAGGCAATGTTCCACAGAGCTAAGGCTGGAGACCTGTTGTTCTAAAATGCAAGCAGACTGGTGTGCACGTGTGACTGTGCCTTTTTCAACTACAAAAGACCCATAAGATTGATATTTATTCTTGAAAGAGAGCAAGATTGTTTTGTCGGGAGGTTTTTAATGCACACCAGACAGACCAGGGTTCAAGGCCACATTCCTCTCAACTTTTTCCTTTTTTTTTTTCTTTTCTTTTTTTTTCCTTTACTGGGCTCAACTTGAAAGACATTACAGCAAAAAGCATTAGAAGTGATCAGTGTTTGATACCAAAGCAATTACTGCTCTTGGTTTGCTATCTGCCTCTGTTCCATTCTCTGTGTGTGCACGTGTGAAAATTTCAGGCAAATAATTCACTCCCCTCTTGGGAATCCTTATGACATAGCTCCTCTTGGAAGTCATCAGCAGTAAAGCCGCCAGATCTATATTCATTTCTGACCTGTACATCTGGGTTCCAGCACATGCTCGACTTGCGTTCGCCAACACATGGCTCACGAGGGAGGGTGATCTACTACACTCCACATTTCCTCAGCTGGTCAGGAGAAATTAGGTCAAAAATTGAAATGGGTTAGACGGGCTTCAGGGAGAGTGCTAGTTTGGTTTAGGTTCTCATGTTGATGTAAAGATACGGGGAAAGGGGCAGGACTCCAATCCGCAGAGATGAGGCGATAAACTAGCACACGAAGGAAAGGAAAGAGTCTCACATGCTTTGCCAAACATTAAAGGAAAAAAATGGATGTCACAATAAGGAGGAGTGAACAGATATGAGAAGTGGCCTCATCATTCACAGCTGTATGACACTAACATCTCTTGCATGTGGTAAACTCTGAAGTTTCCAAAAACCAGTTGTTATCTGCCTGTCATGTTTTGGCCATTTAACCCGTGTGATTTATCTGTCTGAATCAGAGACGGGGCCAAGTTTAGATGAAGCCTCCAACATTTAAGATCAGCACGCCTGCAGAGGCGGTCTAGGCAGGGGTCATGTTCATGTTTATAACCTGCCGGGGGGGCACCATCAGTACTTTGTCACTTTTTTTCTTTAGTAACAAAAAAATAAATAAAAAAATCAACATTGGCGTGTTAGAAAATTAGAGAGGAAGCATTTGGGCTCATGCTGTAGCTTAGTTTGTAAACACAAGGGAGGTTACATCTGTTGGAAATGTGCAACGAAATTACAGGGGTCAGCTGCACTGTGACCTTTTATTAGGGAGGCTTAATGAAGAAACCACAGATGAGATGACTGAGCTACACAATTGGTTTTTTGTTTTTGTTTTGTTTGTTTTTTTCGAACCGCAATGACTCGATCCAAGCTAACAAGTTCATGTTTATTATGTGTTCTACATATAAAATCAAACATCTAATAAAGCACTGACGTCAAGAGTCCAACTTAATCAACAGAAGTGCAACCAATCTGAATAAGGAGCAGGGAAAATAAAAATGAGAGGGAGGAGAGGAAAATTAGTTTTATGATCTGCAATATCCTGCCAGAACTTTTATTAGACACTTAAGCGTGTGTGACCCACCTCCTCACAGCAGGCTGTTAAATGGTAGTGACCTTGGAGAGAGAGAGAGAGCTGTGGACCTCTAGTATCCCCAAAACATGCTGTCCCTGCCCCCTTTTAACCTCAACGCACATGATCTCTGACATCACCGACACGGGAGACATAAATTAAACAGCTGCTAAACTTGGCCTAGCATCCACATTATCTGTGGCACACATTTGAGTTTGTTTATACGGGTAAAATGTGTGAGTGTGAGAAGGTCATCATGCAGAATCATCAATTTACATAGTTTATATAAACACATGTGGCTGTAGATAGGTTTATGGAAAGAAAAGTGTTACTGGATTGATTAATAACATCCTTGTGTTGTAAAATTGAGGTCGGGGGGGGAGGGGGGAGGGGGGGGGCTGTCAGCTTCACTGGTGCAAAGCTGTGCCGTTCTGCAACGTACATACCCCTGAGGATGTAATTCTGGTAGTTCTGGTCGGCTTCGGCTCCAACTTTTATCAAACACGTGAGTCCTTCGGCCACCACAAACTCGTGCACAAGGTCTTTGTCATCCTGGCAACAGAGAAAAAGGAAAATATCCAAGATTATAAACTCAAACATTTTATTTATTTTGTGTGGATTCATAACAGCAGTTGCCTCGAGAGGGCACTTCATATTGCAAGGTAAAAAAGCCAGAAATGAGAGCATCTTATATGAGCAAGCATTTGGTGACAGTGGGAAGGAAGAACTCCCTTTTAACAGGAAGGAACCTCCAGCAGCCAGAGAGAGCCAACATCAGAAAAGAAAAGACAAAAAAACCCCCACAAACTATGGGAGAGAAAAGAAAATGTAGCAGCATATAAATGCATGGCACTCAGTGCACTATGGGAAATCACCCAGCAGCCTGAGCATTTAGCAGCATAACTAAAGAATTGTTCAGGGTCACCTAATCCAGCCCCAACTATGAGCCTCATCAAAAAGGAAAGTTTGAAGCTTAAACTTAAAAACCCGACAGTTGCTTCTATGGTCACTGAAGGATGGCTCCAAATGAAACTCAGATTTCATAGATGCCTTTGTGAAAATGGCCAAATTTCTAGCAAAAACAAACATGCTTACAGCCTTTTGCTGAAAACAGTTTTGGTCTCAAAAGCTAACACCCTTTCATATCAACTGTATGGGGAGCCATTTTTAAATAACTCATTGTTTTAATTGCATTAACTTTAACAGTTATGAATAATTAGAGGTACCTATGCTGAGCCATGTGGGTACAAACACAGGCAGACACTGTATGGCTACTAGCTTTCTGCTAGACTTCATGTCTAACAAACTCAACATCTCTACCTCATTTTTCATGTTGGTGCCTTTTGAAGTATTTTAAATGCAAATATCTGGCAGGTACCGTGGCGTTCTTGTGGGTAACTGTACTAACAACCTATCCAAACAATGTCTTCTTCAGTTTTGGTGAGGGAAACTCTAGCACTTTATTTGTATGTCAAACAGCACTAACTAACTAAACTCTGTGTCTGGGTGATACATACACATTTTTATATAAGTTTAAATAAAATTATGGATAAATAAAGTAAATGAAATGATGTGAGTGAAGCACAATGAATGTCACAGTGGCTACATCCATTTTAATATACAGTTTATCTGTATTTTTTACTTTATACTATTATATTGATAGAGTTATTCTGGGCATTATATACTTAGCTATAAGGCTAATAAAAAGTAAGCTTAAGAAGCACAGTAATCTGATAAAATCAGCTCAAGAATCTAGTGAGATAATTTATGCTGATCTTTAAAGGCACGGTTTACCCAAGAAAATGTATTTTCTCTTTGGCCTGCAGCGCTTGGTTTAGTGCAGATAGTCACTACAGAAAGGTCCATCTTATCTTGATCATATTATAACTAAATGAATGCCACAAAAACAAGAGAGCTGGTGACTTAATGTGAGCAAATTATAGTAATTTCATCTGCGCACAGTGGGTAAAACCACTGGTTAATCCTCCTGCAAAAAAGATTTACTAAACAACACTTGTAATATTTGTTTTACTGCAGGCAAAAAAAACTATTTCTTGTAAGAGAACAGCTACAGACACACTTTACTCATTCCAAATCATCAGCTGGTTAACACTCAGCAGAAGTTTCTCAAATTCAGTAAAAAGTGGCTGCAGATGCAGTGAGAAGTGCAATCTGTTTGCAGCTTGTTCAAATGGATTCCTGTTGCTTCGGCCCCTCCACTTCATCCCACATTTTGTCCTTGATGACAAAACCACCTGCACCTCTCACACCTGTCGATGACTCCATAATTTAAGGCCAAGCATTAGGTTTTCCGCAGGATTTAACATTTTCTGATGCGCTCTACTGTTCAGATGGGATCGAGAGGAAAGCAGCAATAAACACAGTGGGGTGGTCAGGGCTACTTCTCCCCCAGGAGGAAGTCTAAGTGCTTCCAGAACATATTTACCATATATCTGTGATGGAGACTCCAGTCATTTGGCACAGCCTAAACATAAAGGCGTGCACTAAAGAAACAGAATGACCAGCAGTTACTAAACTCATACATGTGTATTACAGAACTGGAATGTAGGGAAGAAAGACATCGATCAGAGATATTTTACAAGAATTGTCACTGTTCTCTACAGCTGATAACTCACAGGGACACTCAGAGTGTAAAAAGTAAGGTATATTAATATATCCTGAGCATATATCAATGCCTGTTGCTCTCTTTTCCATTTAACTGTCAGTTATCCCTCCCCCTCTGCGACCGACTGCCCGCTAGCCCAGCCCAGAGTGTGAAGTATGACCAGACCTGAACACTCCACAGCTGCCACGAAGGCAGACTCTCAGCAGCACAACTCTGCCTCAAGAAAACAGTAATGTGTCCAAGTGCGAGCGTGAATGTGTGCACTGACTTCTTGTATGTTAATGCGTTTAAATTGACCAAAGAATTCACAAGATTTTGAAAAAATGATTATGAGAAACACAAAGCACTGTGGGGGTTGAATGAGGTGCAGTTTTAAGATGCTCTTACTAGACATCAGCTAGAATGAATAAATAATTACCTGAAAAATCTGCTTGAGGGAAAAGAGGGCTCTCCGCAGCTCCCGTCCTGTTGAGTTGTAGAGTTTTTCTGTATGGAAAGAAATCAGGGGTGAGTGGAAAAAAAAAATCAGCTGACAGTCACACATGTGGTATGTAATGTTACTAGACTTGCAGGATGATTCTGACTTTGCTTTAAAGTAATGTGTTTTAACTGCATCAAACTTGACGTTTCCATGGACTGAAAATGTAGAGAAAACCCCTTCATCGTGCACTCATTGGAAGCAATTATCCCCAGTGGTTAAATATGAAAGCTATCCAAAAAGAGAAATAGTGAGAGCAAAACAGTAGGAGCAACTCAGAGAACATCTGCAGTGAGTTAGAGAACAGAGGATGTTTCCTGCTAACATCATACAAAGTCATGCTGGAAATAGCCACCGCAAAGGCTAAGAAACAATACATGCTTTAATCAGTTATGGTAACTCTACAGAGCAGTAAAGGAGAGTTGTGACTGACAGCAATAAAAGCATACATTTCCTGCAACTGCTATTGCCCATCCTTCTCCCTGCATGCAGTTTGCAAAGTTTGCCAGCGAGTGGCACCATTGAGCGCAGATTTAAACGCTCAATCATCACTGCTGTGTGAACTCGCTCTGACTCAGCAAAACCTGCCTGCTACTGCTGCAGATACAGCAACACAGTCCAATGCAGAGCTACTCTCTGTTGGCATCTTATAGCTGTATACACAGTTTCACTTGAAGGGATAGGTGTAAAAACATTAGTATGTACAAAAAAAGAAAAAGGCATCATCAATAAGGCTCACTCTCGCACACAACCACACCACAAAAACATGACCAGCAATACTTAGAACACACAAACAGGAGAAACAACATATTGCTCTGCATACACCCTGCACACACAAACTCTGAGAGAGCTGCCATTAAATGAACTGTGAGAAACACACACTGACGAGCATATACAGATGGGATACAGAGCAAGAGGCTCCTATTCATTATTGTTGCTTGCCTCCTCAGCTGTAGAGCAAATCCCTTCAGCTGACAGAGAAAGAAAGAGAGCAAGAGGAAGGAGTGGGTTTGTTTTCTGCCAGTTCTGTGGACAAACAAAGGCTACTTCTAGACCTTCTAGAGAATAGACCAGACAGAGTGAGCACTCGCGGTCTGGTGCCTTTTCGGTGTCACACAGCATTTTCACAGCATACATAAAACTTCACACGCAGCAAGAGCTAGGACAGGGAGGTCCACTAGGACAACAAACATCTGAGGAAGGAAAAAATTCAGCCAGAACAACACTGTAGTTATTAACACAAATAAATACCTTACATTTTAAAATATCGCCATGCTTACATCTGTCTTAATATTGTTTAATATAAACTTGGCTCTAAATTGCATTCCTAGTTTAAAACCTGCTGCCATGTTCCAGGACGTGTTATCGCAAGAAAAGGTTGTCCACAGTAACCCTACACACTTTTAATAACGTGATCCACTCGCTCTACAGACAGACAAGTAACTGGAGATGCAGACTTCCTGGGACAGGGCCACATGCGGTTCAGAGGCTCATGTTTGACGACATTGTTGAAATCATACATCTCACTATTCAATTCTAGCAGAGTTCATTATCTTTAAAGGATGTCTTATTTGCACAGTAATTCGTGACTTTCGTGGTATTCAGTATGACTAGACCCGGGCCTTAAATGCTTTGCACATTCGGTGCCGTACATGACTCAAATGCCTGATAAGCGTTAGCCTTCTACGGAAGAGTCCTAGCAAGTCACTGGCAGCAACATCCAGAAGGAATAAATCTCTACAAGTCCAGAGGTATTAAGAAGGGAAGCTGTGTGATGTTGGTAATTTATGTCTTTAAAAATAACAGGAAGGAAGTGAGACTGGACCTTTTCACTTTACCCCCCCGAACAGTGTGTGACTCCAGCCTTAGCGAATCACCATTGCCAAGTCTCCACTTTGTCTTCTCAAAGCTGACACATTTTTGTAATTGGATCGGTTTTATTTTGTTTTATACGCTCCTTTTAATCACTGTCATTATTGTGGTTAAGCACATTGTAATTCTATTGATAAAAGGAAAAGAAATGTAAATTTTAGTAGCACAACACTAATAATGGTATAAATTGCATTGAGTTTTATGGCTCGAAAACAAATAAAGATAAAATAATGCCACGTATTCTGAGTCTTTGTATTATGACTACTACCGTGACTGTGCCATTATATCTGCACTGATTGAACATCATGTAAAAACGTGCCAAAGCTTTTTAACAACTCTTTCTCCCCTCGAGGTCAAGGTAGGGTCATACCTTATGCCCGGCAGGAAGATGACTAAGAGTTCAGATTAGCGATCTCTAAACAGACAAACTCTCTGATCACTGGGGTGGAAAAACAGAGCGAGATAACTCTGAGTTACTCATCACACCTTCAACATACAAATCAAGCCTGATTTGTGGTTCTACTTAACCTCAAGCCCTGAATCAGTGTGCCCTTTTTCTTCCAAAAGTCTTTACTGCACTTCCACAATAATCAGTCAACAGAGTGCTATAACAGTGATGCATCAGCACATGGGTTTCCACTGAGTTTGACTAAATCCCAGTAGCATGGCGTGTGTCGGTGTCTGTCTGTGCGTGCGTGCGTGTATGTCTGTCAGCAGCGGTAAGACTGAGAAAATTCTTCCACGTACAGCTCCACTGCAGCTTTGCACAAAGGGCTTGTGCTTCTCTACTTAACCATGTAGTTTGTACAGCATTAAATTTGTCATAAAGTTATTCCTGTGCAACATTAAATCAACTGTTGGAACAGACAGTTCCTTCCCTGTCCTCGTCTACGGTCCACACACCGATGCACCTCTCAGAGGTCCATCTCTAATGAGAAATAACTCAGTGGAGATTAGTTCCATACCATTTGGCACAGATATGCACCCAAACGTATGGGCCCTCTGCGCTTCTTTATTTAGGAAAGAACTTTTGGAGTGGGACCTCGTTTATTTACAAGAAATGTTTGTGAGTCATGTTCACATGAAACCACCTGACTATTCAAACTCGACAGTTTACTACATTGGCCATGGATTTGTATTGAGGGCTTTTGCAAACCAAATGTTATATGAACAAAGGAAGACATGAGGGATAGCACATAGTTTGCTCACATAAAAACTTTCTGGGCATCGTTCAGTTTTGATTGAAGTTCAGCTGCAGATAGAAGCAAAGCATCTCTCTGCAGTCTAACCTTACGATTGCTTTAATGTACGTTTTTTTAATGTCATGTCGAGTCATGTTGCTCATTACTCTTCACACCCTAAAACAAGACGCCCTCACCGTTAAAACAATGGGTCTGAGGGTGCATCTGAGTTCTGGTTGCTCATCTTTCCTGTCATCTTCAACTTCACCTTAGGCTTTTACTGACAAGCCAACCGAAGACTGCAGAATGACTCAATGCAGTGAAAGTGTTTCTTTGATGGTTCTTGCTGATGCACCAGAGAAAGCAGCTGTTTTCCTCTCTTAAACGGCAACACACCGTTGCATTTTTCTCAGTTCAAATAGCTACAGGGATGTAATGCATTCATAATTATAACAATCATAAAAGTAAGAGCAGGATTTTCATAATTGTCAGGAATGTGCTCAGAGCGGAAGAGTTAAGAAAAAAAACTGCTGTGGTGGGCTGATACATTCAGACAGGCCAGGACTTCAGGGATGGTCACGCTGCTGCTGAGAAAGTAAATCTGTCCTTTGCTGCTTAAATACCTTATGATTCAATGTGTCATTGCCAGCAAATTCCAGCTTCACGTTTCAGGTTTGTATGAGTCACTTTTTCATTGAAATCTCCATCTCAACCTTACCCTAAAACCCACTGTGGTCCAGCTAACAAATGAAACGATAAATAGCGAAACTAATTTGCCAACAAAGTCATTAACCTTGCAAACACTGTTCACATGCCTTTATTCCAGAACGCATTGTAAAATGAAAAGGATGACTACTGCTGCTTATGCATTGCGCAGCAGGCGGAACGCATAAACCACATCCAAAGCACAGCCAGGAAACCCACAAAGACCCCACTGGGCAGGACAACCCCACATACACTGGTGTAAATTAAACTCTGTTTGCTTTTTGGAGAGGATGTGTCAGAGTGGATGTTGAAGAAAAAGATCCTTAACATATTGTACTGCCATGTAAATAAATCTTTTTCCTTTTATACATGTTGCACAATTGCATCAGAAGCTTTCATGTGGGATGCAGAGATGGGAGAAGGTTGAGAAGCATGAAGTATGGTGTGAGGCCTCAGACAATTTTCCAGCAGACTGGGGGGCAGACAAAACTCTTGTGTTTATATGTTAAATGCTTTGAATTTTACTCTGGACTATCTAGACATCTGACCTCATCACTGTCTGTCAGACTAACAATGACTGGATGAGTATTTTTAGCTAAAAGCAAATCACTATGCAAGGTCTTTAGTCTTTCATCACCCACTTAACCATTCCATCTGTGTGTGCTGTGCTGCTAATTAGCAAGTTTACACAAGTTAAAAACAAAAACATGTTTGAGTGACGACGTAAGAAAAGTTAAGATGTTATACAATACTCGAACATGTGACCTGGTTAGAGCGCCAGGTTTACCGAAAGTCCTCATAACATCAAAAGAAGAGAGAAAGAGATAGAAAGGAAAAATGTTTTTTTCATATGTTGTTACTCCTGTTAACATGGTGGAGACTTTTCCCATTTCCCTACCTGGAGTAAACTTAAAGAGGCTCATATTTTTTATTGGACTCTACTTCTTTTAATAGCAGTTAGCCGCTGCGTAAATGCTAACTTAATAAATGGCTAATGTGGTTATGCAATTGGTAATAGTTAAATGGCTAACATGGTTAATATGTGCCTGTTTACTTCACTGAACCAGGGGCTTTACCGACCTCCCAAATTTCTAAGTAAAGACCAAGTTCAGTAAATTTAAATGCTGTTCATGTGTTCAGCTGCTGGTGAGGGCAGAGGCTGCTTTCCTGTCTGTCTGCACTGCTGCCGTGTCAAGGTGTGAGAAAGAGGAGGCTAAGGCAAGCACTGTTGATATTTATGCTGTAGGCTA